CGGAGGAGGGTAATGGGCCTAGCAGTGCATCATCAGTAGGATGCGCCAGAACCTGGAGGAGCTGGTGCAGCCTCCCAATGATGTCACAGATGAACATTCACTGTGGCCTTCCCATCCTCTGGTAAGCTGGGGAGCAAAAAAAAAAGTGTGCGGGGGGGGGGGTGTTGAAGCTCTTGAATTTAATAAATAACAGGGTAATTACTTCTTACACTGTGTGGCAAATTGAAACAATGGCTTTGACATGTGATACCTTACTATTACTGCAAAAGCTGACCATGGTCCTGTTCCCATCCTCTGTAACGAATAAGAAAGCTTGGATGCTGGGATAGATTGGGTCAGGTTGAACTTTACAGAGTCAACATATGCATAATATATTCAGTTGTCTATATCTCTGTAAACAACTGGTCACTTTAATATGTGATTTTCAATAAAGGTAACCACTGCATATTTTTTTTAAAATAACGATCTGCTAGGTAAGAATTGGCACCTATGGTTTGCTCTGCTCCTACATTAGCTTTTCTAGCTGTTCGCCTGTTGTAGTAGAGAGAGAGACACATCCATAGTGTGTGTGGCTATCTGTTCTTTCTTGGGCAATGGAAGAGCAGCTAATGTAGAATCTTTCCATATTTTAACTTAGTGCTGAGTATTAGCATTTAGTGATTGTAAGAGCTCCCTAATCTATAATATGCTGCACTTTGATTTAGACTAAAGTATTATTTTATTTTAAAACTCTTCAAATTACAATAGAGCCATTGTCAGTTAAAGTGTTATTAAACCACTTGCCTACCAGGCACTTATACCCCCTTATTTACCAGGCCAATTTTCAGCTTTCAGCGCTGCCGCACTTTGACAATTGCGCGGTCATGCAACATTGTACCCATATGACATTTTGATCATTTTTTTCTCACAAATAGAGCTTTCTTTTGGTGGTATTTAATCGCCACTGGGCGCTTTACTTTTTGCGCTAAAAATAAAAAAAAGTGTAAAAAAATTGAAAAAAAAAAAAAGTTTCTTTGTTTCTATTATAAAATTTTTCAAACAGGTATTTTTTTTCTCCTTCACTGATGTGCGTTGATGAGGCAGCACTGATGGGCACTGATAGGCAGCACTAAAGGGCACTGATAGGCAGTACTAATGAGGTGGCACGAATAGGCGGCACTAATATGCAGCACTGATAGGCAGCACTAAAGGACACTGATAGGCAGCACTAATGAGGTGTCACGGATAGGCGGCACTAATATGCAGCACTAATAGGCGGCACTGATAGGTGACACTGATGATGGGTACTGATAGACGGCACTGACTGGCATCATGCTGGGCACTGACTGGCGGCACTGACTGGCACAACCCCTGGGCACTGACTGGCAGCACTGGTGGGTGGCACTGGTGGGCAGCACTGGTGGGTGGCACTGGTGGGCAGCACTGGTGGGTGGGCACAGGTGGGTGGCACAGGTGGGTGGCACTTCTGGGCACAGGTGTAGGTGGCACAGGTGGGTGCACTGCTGGGCACAGGTGGGTGCACTGCTGGGCACAGGTGGGTGCACTGCTGGGCACAAGTGGGCGGAGCTAGTAGTGGGCGCACTGCTGGGCACAGGTGGGCGGAACTTGCGGGCGGCACTGCTGGGCACCGATCATCAGGGCACTGATCATCAGTACCCTGATGATCGGTGCCGATCCCCACTCTGACAACTGCCGGTTCTCGGCAGTACTTTCCTCACGATCTGACAGCCGAGAACCGGGCACTTGCATTTCCCTCTGATCAGCGTGTCATTGGACACCGCTGATCACATGGTAAAAGGCCCCTGTGATTGGCCTTTTACCACATCACGTGATCAGCTGTGTCCGTAGGACACAGCTGATCACGTGATGTGATCCCTGGGGCGCGCAGGAGAGCGCGTTCTGGGAGGACGTCATATGACGTCCACTCAGAACTGGCCGGCCGCAGTGCAGCCGTCATTCGGGTATCTGCGGTCGGCTTCTAGTTAAAGGCAATAAAAAAAAAACAAACGTGTTATACTTGCCTGCTTTCTGTAATGGTTTTTGGACAGAGCAGCCCCAATCCTCCTCTCTTTTTGGGTCCCCTGTGGTTGCTCCTGGCTACTCCCTCATGACTATTGCACTCAGAGCAAGCAGCTTGCTATGAGAGCACCCAAGCAGGCTTGCTCCCAAGCCACTGCTCTGCATGTCCATTCACACACAGAGCCATGGATCGACCCCTCTCCTCATTGGCTCATTGGCTGTGATCTACTGCTCTCTCAGCCAATGTGGAGGGGAGAGTCCCTGTAGTGGTGAGGCTCTCATGCTCGTTACTGGATTGTGATGGGGCTCAGGTAAGTATTAGGGGGGCTACTGCATACAAAAGGTTGGTGGTTTTTTTTTTACTTTTTTTTTTTTACTATAGAATGTAAAGGCTCAAGGGTTTTTTTTACCTTCATGTTACCTCTTTAAACCTAAAGTTCGCCCTCCCCCCAATAACATGCTAGTGAAATTTTTAAATTAAAATATTTCAGTTCAATAAGCAATGCAAACAGATCATGGCTAGTGGAAAGGGCCAGAAGGATGATGTACTTGGCTTTCTGCAAACATCACAGCACCTTGTCTAAGTACTCTACTCAGGAGTCCTCAGACCTGATGCAACCAGCAGCCTGGCTCTTTGGAAAGGTTTATGCGAATATCAAAATGCCTTGATGGGTGGATGTGCGTCTGGAGGGATGAGTGTTCCTAGGCACACTGCATTTGCATACAGACCACCCTAGGGACCATTCACATGTGATACTGGGCCTCCATGATTGAAAGAACTGATGAATAAAATGGGGTAGACCAGGTACAGTAAGGCTGGGGAGGAAAGATTTGGATGACCCTGGACATTTCACTGCACGCCGTGTAAGTGATTTCAGGACAGAAGAGGAGCCTGTACAAGTGTGAGACTGTTGGTAAGGAATAAGGATGGTGTTCAGCTTTAACTCTCAAGTAGTTCTAAGCATATCACAGTGCTTGATGTACTCATTGTTATGCAAGGAGGAGGAATCTCTGTAATCCTTCAGTGCTATCTATGGAATAAGATTTACTGTAATAGTACATTAACCAATTGTGAATAAAATTTGCAACAGGTACTCGAGATGTGGCACATCTTTGTGACTTGTTGGAAAGGGATTTCACCCTTTGTTGCCCCTCTTCTAATAATGAGGCAGTATGGCTGAGTGCTGTAAGCGTTATCTGTTAACTTCCCCCTGTATGATTTCTATAATCCACTCCCACCCCTGTAAAATCCCTCTGCTGGATGCTGATAAATGAGCAGTTCTCCTTGCTTTTATCTTGCATACCTTCATGCATTCTTCAGGCGGGGTTGATGCACAAGGAGGCACAATCCACTTCTTACCATGCTGAGTAAATGTATTAATTCTGCACAATCCAGGATAAAGACCAGCTCTTCACCTTCTCACTTCAAAAGGATCATGCTTCATTTACTCCCAGCAACTCACAGGCATTAGTAACTGGGAGCCCAACCAATATTATTGTAAGGCAGAGAACCTTGGATGCCAGAAAAAAGCAAGCACATGGAAAATTCATGTGTGTTTCATCTTAAAATGCATAGTTTAATAAGTATCTGCTACGATCTGGTCTGTGGTTAGAGGGAAGGGGTGAAATATTGACATCTGAGCCCTCATCATACAACAGGCAATCCATAATAAAGTCAGGATTGACCAACATACAAGATTATTCTTCCACATTCCATATCTCATCTGCACTCTGTATACCTGAAATTGTTCCCATTTTATCACACACTGGTCCATATTATTTCTTTGGTTGAAATTTTGTTTGCTGTAGTTTTCCCCAACATCAAACCATAATGTGTATTTTTAAGGTGATTTCCATCAAGAATGGAAAATCTTCATTTCATTCTTTAAAATTTAATTCACCAATTATTTATTTTATTTTTATTATATAGTACTTATATAGTGCCATCAATTTCTGCAGCACTTTACATATATTGTACATGAACATCAGTCCCTAACCCTCAAGGTTAAAATCTAAGGTCCCTAACACACATTCATACATACCCATACTAGGGCCAATTTAGACAAAGCCAATAAACCTATCATGTCTTTTTGGACTGTGGGAGGAAACCTGCACAGGGAGAACATGCAAACTCCACACAGGTAGTGCTGTGGTTGGGATTCGAACAGATGACCCTAGTGCTGCAAGAGGCAAGTGCTAGCCCCTGTGCTGCACCTCCTTTTCACAAAAAATGAACATGTAAAGTAACTCTAAATATCCTGGCCACACTTCTGGACCTCTCAGCCAGTACACCACAATACACAAGCCTAGAGTGTGCATCCATCATAATGCTCCCAATGGCAAGCATAATCATTGGTCAAGAATGACAACGTGACCGTGCTGACCATTGAGAATGGTTTCTTTCTTTGGTCACATGCCTGATGAAGGGGTCTTGCGAGAGTTTGAAACGTTGCCTTGCTTTGACTATGTGATTGTTCAATTAAAACATTTTGGACCCATATTGGTGATCTTTGGTGTGCTGGTGACATTCTCCCTTGTGGTTTCTTTCTTCTGGAACAAGAAGCTTCAGATGCACTTTTCATTGGTCAGCAAGGTCATATGGCTGCAACAACCAACAAATGCTTGCCATGTCCAGTGCAATACACAGCCCCACTGTGGGGCTGTCATAACAAAGTACGATTTATAGATCACTACACCGACGCCATGGGGCATCACAGCCGCTATGTGCAGGGGTGTTTGGGGGGATATGCATTTGGAGTTAGTTCACGTTTTCATTTCTCGGGAACTTGCCCTTTAGTGTGTCAGAAGAGTATGCATATTTTGGTATCTAAAAAAAGCCAGTCTGTAAAGTAATATGTGATTGATGGGTCTATATATATATTTTTTTATGCATCATATTTCTTTTCTGTTAATAATTGAGAAAGCATGGTCACGATGTCTCTTTATCGTATATTATTCTTGTTACAGCTGCCTCATGTTTCATGTGTTTTTTTTTTTGGTCTTTTTCCAGGAAATTTTATTACATCACATTGTTACGAGATCCTGTCTCACGGTATCTTAGTGAGTGGCGGCATGTACAACGAGGAGCCACTTGGAAGACATCACTTCATATGTGTGATGGAAGGACACCAACGCCGGAGGAGCTGCCGTCCTGTTATGAAGGCACAGACTGGTCAGGGTGCACATTGCAAGAATTCATGGAATGTCCCTACAACCTGGCCAACAATCGCCAGGTTAGGATGTTAGCGGACCTCAGCCTTGTAGGATGCTATAATATGTCCTTTATTCCAGAAAACAAGCGAGCTCAGATCCTTCTGGAGAGCGCCAAAAAGAACCTAAAGGACATGGCGTTTTTTGGCCTCACGGAATTCCAGAGAAAGACTCAGTATCTCTTTGAGAGGACTTTTAATCTGAAATTCATCAGGCCTTTCATGCAATACAACAACACTCGGGCAGGTGGGGTTGACTTGGACAATGGCACTATCCAAAGGATTGAGGAGCTTAACGACTTAGACATGCAGCTGTATGACTATGCAAAGGACCTCTTTCAGCAGCGCTATCAGTTCAAGAGGCAAGTGGAGAGAATGGAGCAGCGCAAAAGGAATCGGGAAGAGAGACTTCTGCAGAGGTCTAACGAGGCTTTTGCCAAGGAAGAAGCTGAGGACCAAGTGCGCTGGCCTACAGAAGACTACATGAGCCATATTATAGAGAAATGGTAGACCAACATGGACTTTTATACTACTGGAGAAACTGGTTTCACATTTGTTATTCTGTCTTGTATAAAAAAACTGAACATTATAAATAAGAACACTTTTTATTTAATGTTTGTAGCACAGAGCTCAAAGCTTTGGTAACTGTTCATGTTTATGTGGGGCAATGTACATTCATTTAAAGGGGCAGTCTTCTTTTAGATAAGCACTTTCATTGTAAAAATTCTTCTTGTAGAACATTTAAAGCTGAACTCCAGTCAAACGGCTAAATACTCAGATAAAATAATAAGAGCAGTTTTCCCTGCTAAAAGATTTGCATGGCTGTTTTCCTTACCCAAAATTTAAAAAGCCCTGCTACACAGTTTAGCCATTCAGGAGACCTGACTGTTCTACTGTGGGTTACATAATACAACTAGGTCTTGTCCTTCCCCCAGGTTGTGATTGAACAATAAAGGAGGATTGGCAGACTGCTAAGTTCATTTCTTTGTCCTGCTCTCTCCTCCTGCCAGCAAATTCCTTGTTAGAATATGAGCACTGCAGCACAAATATCAGGCTCATTGTGCTGCTTCTCACTTTTCCAGTCTGAGTTCAGCTGTACAAGGGATTGCTAAATTCAGGTACTTGTATTATTTACTTTTTAAATACACATAATGATTTTCAAATGAACACGTCATTGATTAAAATGGTGTGTTTTTCTTCTCAATCTGCTTGTAGTTCAGCTTTATGGTGCCTGTTTTAAAGTGCTATTGCATATTGTTGCCTTCTAAAGTGCTCATTTTCTGAGCAAGATTTAGTGCTCTCCAGATGAAGGGTGCAGCTAATCGTACAAATTGTGGGTGGGCTGCCTTTAACTAGCAGTATATATAAAATTGAAAGAGCTTGTCTAAAACCTGGACAGTCCCTTTTAATGTATTGAGAGAGTGACCGCACAGTGTCAGTAATGCTATGTGTTTTATTCACTCTGGGGAATCATTAAAGCATTGTTGTGTGTTGATTATCTGGCTTCTCCAATTCACAAGGGAAAAAAAAAAAACTAATAACAGTGGTATGTTTAATAGCTTGAAAAACATTCTTGCTTTTATAACCCTTCAAGAAACCCATATTTCAACTAAAGACAAGAGTTTCCAGTGAAGATCATCATCGTACTTTTGTAAAGTGCATGGGAAGAATATATTTTAAAATTCTGTACAAGCATGGGAATTTTTATTTTTATAGAATACTGTAAATCAACTTGATTTTTTTTTTTTTATTATTATTTTTTACTAATGTGAATGATTCAATGAGATTGGAAAAGTGCACAGGTTATGTGTAAGTCATGTGAAAGTCCTTCTTTGTTCCATTTTTTGGTTTGATCTATGCAAAGTGTTGAGATGCAAGCTAAGCTATGCTAACCTGAACCCCAACTACAGACTTTTCAATTGAAGCCATCATATGCCTCCTATAAATTTTGTCCTTTGTGTCCATTGAAGAATGCATTGTAAGTGAAAGTCCCCACAGAAGAATTACAGATATTTTACATTGTATCAACATTTGTTGTACTGTTGAGTGTTAACTAATGTTTTAAATTATTTTCCATTTTCAGCTGGGGAGAGGCTTGGAGTTAAATTGCATGGGAAGTTTTAGGCTGGCCATACACTATATAATTTTCTGCCCAATTTCCTTTAGATTTACCTTCAACTATGTAGTGCAAGAGCCTGCCTAATTGGATCCAATTGAAAGTGTTGTTAGGTATGACCTCCTATTATATGGTTTTTGGTAAATCTAAAACAAAAATCTCAAGAAAATTGTATAATGTATGGCCAGCCTTTGTCTTGCTGCCTGTGCAGTAATTTACTAGAAATAAAATGGAGCCCTGTGGATAAAACTGCACAATAAATTCAAGATGCAATGCTCATAAAATGCCATTATTTAGCTCCAGGCTTCATGCACGCTGGATATTTTTTATCATGGCCATTAGGTGCGTCTGGAATTTGTTTTTCTGTCTATAAATGCCCCTGCATGGAAGCCTGTGTGTCTATGCACACATAGGCATTTAGAGGCAGAAAACAACCCCCACAGTCAGTGCATTGAGGAGCAGCAGCGTTTTGTCAGAAAAAAATGGTGTCAATTCGTGTTAATGCTAGGGGTGTTTAGTGCTTGACCATTAATTCCTTTTAATGGGCCAATATAAATGATTATTTTGGCCAATTAAATGAATTAACACCCAAGTGCTTGAAGCGTCTAAAAGCAAAACATCCAGTGTGCATGAGGTCTTAGCACATGAGCCCATGACTTCTTTTACCAACTAGAATTTTTTTAGATGTTTAGTTAGCACAATATGCCATTGTTTGGGTGCTCTGTATTGCAGGACAGAAAGTTGTTATTATTATACAGGATTTATACAGCACCAACAGTTTGCTCAGCGCTTTACAATATAACGGGAGACAATACAGCAACAATATAGTTCAATACAAGAGGGAAAGGAGGGCCCTGCTCCTTGGAGCTTACAATCTAGGAAGTTGGTTGTGTATGGGTAGATCCTGTCCCCAGCATTCCCTGGTATTAAGTGGAGGGAATGCAAATACTAAAACTGTTGCAATAAGGCAGCTACAGTGGGGATCGAAAGTTTGGGCACCCCAGCTAAAAATTTGTATTAATGTGCATAAAGAAGCCAAGGAAAGATGGAAAAATCTCCAAAAGGCATCAAATTACAGATTAGACATTCTTATAATATGTCAACAAAAGTTAGATTTTATTTCCATCATTTACACTTTCAAAATAACAGAAAACAAAAAAATGGCATCTGCAAAAGTTTGGGCACCCTGCAGAGTTAATATCTTGTACTGCCCCCTTTGGCAAGTATCACAGCTTGTAAACGCTTTTTGTAGCCAGCCAAGAGTCTTTCAATTCTTGTTTGAGGTATCTTTGCCCATTCTTCCTTACAAAAGTCTTCCAGTTCTTTGAGATTTCTGGGCTGTCTGTCACGCACTGCTCTTTTAAGGTCTATCCATAGATTTTCAATTATGTTGAGGTCAGGAGATTGTGAAGGCCATGGCAAAACCTTCAGTTTACGCCTCTTGATGTAATCCCCTGTGGATTTCGAGGTGTGTTTAGGATCATTATCCATTTGTAGAAGCCATCCTCTCTTTAACTTCAGCTTTTTCACAGATGGCATCAAGTTACCATCCAAAATTTGCTGAAATTTTATTGAATCCATTTTTCCTTCTACTCGTGAGATGTTCCCTGTGCCACTGGCTGCAACACAACCCCAAAGCATGATTGATCCAACCCCATGCTTAACAGTGGGACAGAGGTTCTTTTCATTAAATTCTGTGCCCCTTCTCCAAACGTACCTTTGCTCATTCCGGTCAAAAAGTTCCATTTTAATCTCATCGGTCCACGGAACTTGTTTCCAAAATGCATCAGGCTTGTCTATATGTTCATTTGCAAAGTTCAAACGATGATTTTTGTGGTGAGGACGTAGAAGAGGTTTTCTTCTGATGACTCTTCCATGAAGACCATATTTGTACAAGTATCTCTTTATAGTGGAATAGTGTACCACACAACTCCAGTGTCTGCCAGATCTTTCTGGAGGGATCGTGCAGTCAAACGTGGGTTTTGAATTGTTTTTCTCACAATCCTGCGAGCTGTTCTGTCTGATATTTTTCTTGGTCTTCCAGATCTTGCTTTAACTTCCACTGTTCCTGATGACTGCCATTTCTTAATTACATTCCGAACAGAGGATATTGACATCTGAAAACGCTTTGCTATCTTCTTATAGCCTTCTCCAGCTTTGTGAGCGTCAACTATTTTCAGTTTCAGTTTTCTAGACAACTGCTTAGAAGAACCCATGGTGCTGATTGTTGGGGCAAGGTCACATGAGTCTGGGCATTTAAAACCTTTGAGATTGACACCACCTGGTCTTCCCAGACGATGATTGAGAACAATCCATGACACTGGCAGGTCTCAGCTTTGCAAAGGGGGCAGTGCATGCTATAAATTCTGCAGGGTGTCCAAACTTTTGCAGGTGCCATTTTTTTTGTTTTCTGTTATTTTGAAAGTGTAAATGATGGAAATAAAATCTAACTTTTGTTGACATATTATAAGAATGTCTAATCTGTAATTTGATGCCTTTTGGAGATTTTTCCATCTTTCCTTGGCTTCTTTATGCACATTAATACAAATTTTTAGCTGGGGTGCCCAAACTTTCGATCCCCACTGTACCTTTAGTAGATGCTTTTTTTGGCCTGTAACACTTTAGAAGAATAAGGCTGAAAAAAAAAATCTACATTTTAACAAAATTTTAGGGTGAAGTCAAATGCCATCTTTTATTGCACTTTTCCTTTAATGAATTTGTTTCAAGTGAAACACTGGATTTGTGAACACACTACTGGAGGTGCATGTCAAAGACTTGTTCCCCCCCCCCCCCCCACAGAAGATATATCCCATGTTGTCCCAATGCTAGTGATCAATTGTAGTATAGGTTCTCCCAGCACTGTCACACAGTGGGGTTGATTTACTAAGTGTCGGTTCACATATATGTGGATTGGATGCGGTTTGAACTGCATCCAATCAGCGTGACATGTGAAAACACAGTGCTTACTATGGCCATATCTCAACCACACGTGTGAACAGGATAAAACCTGACCTGAAACCGTTGAACAAGTACTGTCAATTTGTTGTGAAACCTGAGCTTCAACCCGCACCTCACATGTGGAAATAAGCTCTGAGTGCCGGTTGGTTCACATATATGCAGATTGGATGTGGGTTGAACCACATCCAATCTGCATAACGTGCAATAACATTGCTTCCTATGGTGCCTGTTAACATATGTCCAGTGCACTGGCAGTGTGGATTGAAAGAGTCCTGTACGATTTCTGAGCAGTGCGGTCCGGTTCAGGTACGGATTGACTTGGGAATCTTTTTAAACCGCACATCATCAGTTGTGAACAGGATAAAATCCTGACCTGAACCTGATGTAAACCGGACCTGAACAACTACTATGTCAATTAGCTGTGAAACCGGAGCTT